AACTTGAAAAGGCAAAGCAAGAGGAGAATAAAATGTACAGGAAACTACTACAGTGCACTGTACAATCTTTATGGTATTTCTTTCCCTGCCCTCAGCTGTGTGAATCTATTACCAACTCTACGTACAATGTGTGCACCATTTTAAGTCTATGCATCCAAATTAAAGCTCTGAAGGGGTTTAAAAAGGGTGGTTTATGAAGGTCAAACCTGTCATACGGTTAATAAAAAAATCAACTGAGAGCAGATATGAAGTTAGATAAGATACACACATCTACTGTACAACAATACAAATTCCAAATGTCCCAGAAGTCATTCCAAAACAATTGCATAAAACCATTAAATTATTTGTGTTCCTTTAGGTGTTTGAGATTATGGGTTTATGTGTAAACTAAATAAAACCTATTTTAGGTCTTTATACTTCTTGTTATTAACAATGTATTTACAACTAAAATCGCCTGCAAGTTATTCAAAGGGAGAGCATAATGCCTTTCTCATGTATTTCAGAAAACATGCAAAAGCTTATTAATAAATTCACTAATAAAGTTTCTTGAATTTTAGAGATATTGTAAACCTAAAGAAAACTGGCATACATAATATAATGAGCAAATAACTTGTTTATATAATTTAAATGATAAAAAAACAATAGAAATCACACAAAAAAAATGCAAAAGACGTGACACGTTAAAATATTTAAGGAGAATTCATGCACATTTAAGACTGTTTTAAAATAATAAACAAAAGTTGTCCCATTGTGTGAAAACCATATTAGATTAAGTTTTTATTAGACATTACATAAGATTAATATTGAATGTTGCTACTATTTTTGTATCTGCAAATATATTGCATCTCTTGTCACAAAAGCAGCATGTGTGTGTTTAAGTTATATTTCTCCTTCTGATCAATAGTTTTATACAAGTACAGTATGTGAAATAAAGAGTGTCCACACAGCATTATCTTCATTTGGTTTGGTCCATTATGTCTGTTTCTCTGAAATTAGATTTCAGGTTTCAATGCAAAAGCGCTACGAATCTCATTTGTATTGAAGACATGTCTATACAGTGAAGAAACTAATTAATCTGAATCTTTGTTAATAATATATTACAGCTTTTTGTTGATTTTTAATTTTTCTACAATCTGTCACTTTTTTGTAAGAACTTGGCTGAAGTTTTTTTTATTTATCTGCTGGTATAACAGAACTCTGGAAAAAGCTGGCAACTTGTTTGTAGAAAACATCAGGCTTCCGCTTTCACACGTCATCCTTCAATAGGACTTTCAGATACTTTCTAGACATAAATAAAATGAAATTGATGTTGTTTATCTGAGGTTATTTGGGTTTGATGAGGTCTAGCACATGTTTGATCAAATGAATTTGAATAAAGCATAAACTGGATTTAAAAGATTGAAAATAAATTTTATTTTAGTATTGAGTTTTAAATTCCTCTTTAAAGCAAAGACAGAAAAAGATGCTGCACGGTTAAATATGTAAGAACCACATCTCAGTTATGCAGGAACACCCACACTGAAACCATGGAAAGAATTAACTAGTCACACTCATGCACCCTGCCTAGACGAATTCAGGGTCCGAATTTAGGGAAGCAATTAAGCCATTACTGGCTGGAAAGCACTTGGGCTTCTTGTGAAACTCACGGCACAAACTGAGGCATGTGTAGTGATATTTATTTAAAAATATAAATATGAACCACTCAGCCTGCAAAAAAATTGAATGTGTACTGCAGAAAATAAAGTAATAAAATCCAATATATTAATAATTCAGCAATGTAAAGAGATTACAATAAAATACAGTATATAAAAACATATAAACCGTGGAAGCAGCCACATTAAAGACCTTTAAAACACAAACCACCAAGGTAATGCATTGCTGATGTATCTAAATAACAGCTGGCCTTGTGAAGTGCTCGAAATTACTGAGCGCATTTAATTTCTTCTTTTTGCTATGCCATTGATTTAAATAAGTGCTATCAAGGAAATATGATTAGAAAACATGAGTTGTCAACAAAAGAAAGTTGCAAAAATGGCCAAAGAGAGTCTTCACGTCACTTTTGATTTTTTTAATACAAGCATTAACAAGTAACACATTACTTATTTGAACTAAATTGAGTCTATTGGCCCAAAAGTTGCATAATAGTAATGTTTCCATTTCAAATACACTAAGAGCCATATACAGTAGCATTTAAATACAATCGATTTCATCTGTGTAGGTTCTTTGCAGTAAAAATGATCCACTCAGAGAAAGTGAAGGTTGCATGTTGATTTAATGTAATTACTTTATGTACAGGAAGTATATTGCAACTTTAATGTTTCAAGCCTAAATGAGATTACTCTTTTGTAGATTGGGGGGAGTACGGAGCTGAAGGCTGGTCTCAATAAAATAATTTATTTTATTGTAAAATTAAAATCAATAAGTATTGATTAAAAGGTTACAAAAGGCGGTGCGTACAGCCGATTCCCCCCAGCTTTAAAAAAGCACTGCTGTGTGCCTTGAAAACTGCCCAGAAAAGAACAGAAAACCCGCCTCATGGAATCTAAACAGAGTACTGGAGTTGAGCACAATAGCAAAAGCTTAAAATGAAAATAGCTCCAGTGGAGCAATACTAATACATTTGACACAGCCCCTGCCCTGTTATTATGCAGAGAAGCTTGTGCTTATCCCCTTTTTAAAATTAGTTTTTCCATAGAATCACCATGATGAAAAAGGAGCATTTCCTTATGGCAAACACATCCTCCTCTCGTGAATTTTGTTACTATTTACCGTTCCACATTTTTATCAGCACTCAACTGTACGAAGGCTTCAATTAGTTCTTGATGAATGAGCCCATAAGATCTTGTACTTTCATTTCCCCTGTTACCAGATATTTCGGCAATCATTATAAAATGAAATATCATTGTGATTTGAGTGAGGGATCACACATTATGCTGCAAAGCTTTTTTTTGAAAAGCTTGAATAAATGGGGGGTAAGTTACAAAGTTCCAGACTCTGTTATTTTCAGCATATAGCTACATATTTGGAAACGGTAATCAATTCAAAATGACACATTTTAATGTTTCAAGCTGTGCTCTGTGTATGTGATAAAATGCTATTGTTAAAATTCAGAACAGATTTATCTGAACATTATACATCTGTATAGAGATCCAAAAAGAAATTAATGAAATAATTTGTAAGACTCAAATTATGTATATCACAACATTTGTATCAAATCAATCATTGCACACTACTGCAGCTTCACGTTTTCTTAACACTGAACATCTACTATTATCCCAACATGAATTTTCACCTAAATCAGCAAGGTACAGTGTATAAAACAGATAAAGAAGGTGTGGATCTTCAGCATAATTAAAAGGAAACACATGGTGTAAATTCATGCTGTGCGAACCTGTCAAAGGGCCTTTAAGCTATGCACAGATGTGAACTATAATATAGAAACATCAGGAACATACCATTGTGTAATCTAACACAACCTACAGCTGGCTCAGTGAGGAGGCACCAAGCTCTGACACCCTTCATGGTGAAAGGAACTGGCTATCAGTCGCAGAGTCTGCAAGAACTGACTCAGATCATTTCTCAGATCTTCCTTTCAATATGCAAGCAAAAAAAAACTTTGTTCTTTCTTTATTTGGTTAAAACGATACACTCAGATGTCTGGTGCATCAAATCATCACAAAACAGTATATGTCTTCAACATGTTTTTCACTACCGTAACCCATAATATATTATGTTTCACGAAATAACTAAATGCTTCTCACCTTGAAAAAATAAATGTGTAGATATTTGATCGAGGTACTCTAGTTCAAATTCTGAAATGATCTGGCAGAGTCAAACTAAATGATTAATTCCCAAGACAAATGGACAGACTAGGACCAGAACATGCTAATGGAGATTATGTTGAAATAGATTCAGTTAACAGATTTAGCCCAATGTTTTGGGATGCGTGTATCACACAGCTACTGTGCCATAGTGTGAGAACAAGTTAAAAAGAAATTAAACAACTTGACCAACTTGTGAATGTTCTTCTCTCCCAAGAAGCTAGTAGTACCAAAATGAGCTTCATACTGTAGGTAACCCCTTTATATTCTTATGACATCTAAATGTTTTGTTTATTTACTTATTTGTGATGTTATTCAAGTTAGTCACACCATGAATATATATGTCTGTGTCAGTTTGGCCTGCAGGTGAATTTTTACATTTGAACATGTACATCATCAGTCATGAATGAACATAGCTATAAAAGACATCCAGCTGAAGTATTTAATTCCTGAAAGGGACTCACAAACCCTGTCCCTTTTCTGTTACCCTCTACACCCAGCAGCAATCCCGCTGGGAGAAAAGGCGCAAGAGTAATCAGCCATGCACTCGGCAGCAAAAGGGTCAGTAAAACTCCCCTGAAAAAGCAGGCAACTTGGAGCAACACCTTGTGATTGAGTCACAAAGATAGCTCTTTATATCATGGCTTCCCACAACAGGAATGAGTTGCAGCTAGCAGTGCATTAAATATTTTTTTCTTCCGCAGTTATATTTATTACAATTATAAATAATAATATGGATTATACAGTATACAGTTTTTAGGGTATACATACTTATCTAAATGTTAAGTACTGTCCCTTATAGTGCAACATTTTGAAACCATAACAGATCATTATAATTATATTATTTAGGTAAAGTTTTGTTGCTTCAAAAAATCCAGAAATCAAAATACACAATTAAAAAACAGTGAATGCTCTGTGATGCAACTAAAATCATTTTTCATCCTATAAATCAGAGAAATCCAGAGTAATATAATGTGTTGCTAACATTTACATCAACTGTGCTTATAAAACACTCTCAGGGCAGTTCTCCAGGAACAGATGTGTAGTAAAGTTTTTACCGCAGAGACCAAAGAGCGTCTTTATGTTCAGATTGCTAAAAAAGAAAATCCAGTCATCTAAGCCATTAATCACGAGTGTTCATTTTCAGCATAAATATCAATAAAAGCAGAAAGGGCTTACCATCATCGATAATGGTCACCACCACTCCTTTTCCAGTGATATTTCTCTTCCAGACAGGCATGATATTGAGGTCAAACCTTTTAGGGCTTCCGAATTGTCCTCGGTTGTACTAAAATAAAAATGTTTTATCATTTTAAAGGTCAAGTTAGTGTATTGTTTTCAAGGCAATGGGTATTTTAGCTGCTTTGAAAAACTCAAAGCTAATTCAAAGATAATTTTCTTTTTTAGATCAGAAAAACAGGATGATCTTATATCACAGAACTGGAAAAGATAAGTTCTTTCAGACTGTAGCATTATTGTAATTGTCAATAAAATAATATCTGATCCACTTCAGTTTAAAACCTCCTTTCTAAGAAAAAACTGTTTAAAAACAATGGAAGAACACTGATTATTTAAAATCAGAGCAAAAGACAGTTGTTATGGACAAAGTGGGGTTAGAGCTGTAGAATTTTACTTACTTTTGGTATAAAAGTACTACATACAGTAATACATATAACATTATAATTCGGCAATCAATACTGTGTTAACCAACAAAGCAATTTCAACTCTCCTGCATTTATGCTGCATACAGATTTATACAGCTATGTTTTACAGGAGATGCTGTGATTCCATTAAAAAAATATATATGAACCTTATTTTCAGCAGATTAATGGTAAAGTGCAAGACAAGATGACAAAAAAGAATACATTCTGCTTTAAAAGGTAGAGCTGTAGAAGCCGAACTCAAGTTCCCGTAAATGACCTCAGAGGACCGGAGAATGGACGATCATGGGATTGCCTTTTAAATGTGGGCACTGTCCAGCTGTGGCACTTGCCATACTGTATATACTGCACGGTAGCATGTACAGTACAGAACTTCCATGAACCTCTCCTTGGAAGATGTAGAGGATAATTCCACAGTGAGAGGTTTGGGAAGAAGGCCACTGCATCCAAAATTTTAGAAAAAGGAAAATTTCCTTTTTACCTTAGAGCGTGAAAGTACTGTACCATTTACTTGGCCCTATGCAGCTTGCACGCTGACACAGCTCCCCACTCTCTTATCTACCATATATGTACTGGGTAACTGGAAATGGGTGCTCACAACTTCAGGATATTTTGTCCCTGGGGACTTAGCTATTCACATACTGCACAGCACTTCTGTTTCTGAGTGATGTGGGTGTCATGGACCCATTATAGACGCTGTCTACAGGGACTCAGTATTCAAAATGTTTGAGAGTCTGATTTACAGCCTTAAGTGGTTTGGGAATAGAACTTTTTATTTTATTTAGTATTTTTGTCTCTCAATTCCATTGGTTGAAAGGAATATCTGAAGTAGGGTACAGGGATTTAAAATGAAGTGTTTATAGAAAGCAGAGGAAGTTCTGTGTATAAATTAACATGACTTTCATTTTTTAAATAAGTATTATATGCTATTTTCATGATAATGCAATATGTTTATACCACCGTCGGCGACCTAGAACAAAAGCTGTAGGTGATTAGTCCTGAAAGATGACCACAAAATGTAAAACAATATTTTCTAAACAACTAGTGTTTTATGCATATTTTATAAAAATCAAAATGAAGAAGCATTCTAATTTCTTCACCAGAATGAAAGACTGACATCTAGTGAAAAAAAGAACATTATTAATGATTTAGAGACTTTCAAGCAATACTATTAAAGGTCTTAGGGTACTCTATTCATAAATCACTTCTGTTAGATTCCCTTTCTAATCCCAACCAATTTAGCAAAATATTATTCTGAGATCAAATTTTGATTAATAGATGAGAAAATCTTTAGTATCTCCTGTGCTCTGGTCTAAGTCAATGTATTTTGGAAGTTCAGCAAAAGATATTTTGATATTTTTCTGCTGTAACCCTTCTCTTCTTTAGTTCTCCATGTTGACATATTTGGAAATTATTAGAAATTCTAACTCAGATAGATTTCCCTACAAAATGTACAAAAGAATAGAAAATGGGCACATTTTTTTTCCATTGGGTAGCCATGAGCAAAGCAGCCTATTATTTATTTTAAGAAAGAGACTCCCGCAAAAGAGTCTTCTCTCAGATATTTGATGACAATACTGCATTCTTGCTTTGTAGTGGAAGAGATCAGAACAGAATGAACCCTGAGCTCACAATAGCTGAGTCTGGATACAAAAAAGTTGCATCATTTATGCCACACAATAGATTCATTGCTCCTATCTGCATTTACAAATTGTTCTTTTTTCACTACCTTATTAGGAGAAATGCCCACACAAAATGTAAAATATGTTATTCATAATAACATCTGAAAGGGGAAATGTGAAAGTGATACAAGACAGTCATATGTACAGTACCAAGTGCACTCCTTTACTGTCAGACAGTGTGCTTAAATAAGAATTTCTACTTAAGAAATGGAAACCATCAAAACCGCAGCAAACTTACAGTACCACGCACATGTCAATCAGAGTGTATCCTACAGTGTGTAAAATCAAATTAAATAAATGCATTTGTTTGCTACATAATGTGTAATTTCACAAAATGCTGTTTAAACACAGATGACAATACTTTATGATAAAGCAATGTACTGTATAAAGCAATAAACTGATGTTAAAATATTTTGTTTTTTTCTGACGGCAAAGGACAATTGTGCTGTGTAGTGATGTTACCCAATTACTACGTTGCATCTGTTTGAACAAAGACTTCTCCCATCTCACAAAAACTGGATTAGGGTGTATACTGTACATGTATACATGTAGACAATCAGAAATGCATAATAGGAGTTGGCAATCAGTCATCATCATGCTACAGTACATACAGTATAAGAAGTGTTCCTACACAAACTAATTTATTGAGATGGTGAATCCGCAAGATTTTGTATCTCTTTAGTGACACTGTACACTGTGTAAGTAAAAGAAAAGATGTTTTAGATCCCCTTACACAGTTACGTGTTTTGCAGGAAAAGCGTAGTAATTCTGAGGTACACAAGGGAATAATTATACTTCGCTTGATACAAAATTTGAACTGGAAACGCACATCCAATTAATACACAAGAATACAAAAACTAGCCATTTTTCAGATTTTAGATAGTCATAGAAGAGAAAAACGCTACCCCCGCCCCAGAACATTGTTTCCATCAGCATCAAGATTTACAGATTCACAAACTGAAAGGTTTAAAAAAGTTTTTTTTTTTTTCACCATATGAACAGGAAAAAAGAGCACAGATGAATCTAACTAAACAAAAAAGTAAATAAAGCACAGCAGGAATCTGAAGCTTCCAGGGAGACCAGCTATGCTTTGTAGGAGAAGAAAAGGTCTGACTAGATGAATAGCCTTACTGCATAGGAGTACTGGGCTACCCAAGGGAATCCAGTAATGATAAAGGGGGAGGGGGTGTACAAAGAGAGAGAGTGAGAGACAGAGCAAGCGAAAATCAGGCATCAAAAATATTTATTTCTCACTCCAAAAGACAAACTTGAGGTCTTTTACTTTTTTTCATATATAGTACACAAAAAGCAGGTGGTATAGGATTTTGAAATCACATTTCCAAAGGAGACATGTACAGAACTGAAATGCAATTGAGGGAAGAAAATAGAAATGCAAAGAGACTATTCACAACACAGTGCTTACTTTATATACCTAGTGAGAAACCTTTGCTTGAATTTTTGCCTTACCAAGATACGCAAGAGTGTATGAGTAGAAGCAAAGAAAATGTGTACTGGACATCCACTGATAAAAAGCTTCAAAGATACTTCAAGGCTCAATGTTTTAGCATACTAGTGTTTATTTTACCAACCGTTATGCTGTCATTTAGGTCACAAATATTACAATAAAAAGCAAAAAAATGTTTAACGTATTATGTAATATATGCGAAAAAGAATAATTTCCCTCTGAAATCTACATTTTGATTTTTGCTGTGTTTATTGTGTAGAATTGACTTGGTTCACACAGCTGTCATCACATTTGTTTTCTACAAGCAAATGTTTCAACATGAAGGCATCATGTGATTGAGGACTTTTGTACCTTAAAGCCCAATTTATTGCTGCACAGGAAACCCCATTCCTATGCCATTTGTATGAACAGCACAGTTCTGTTTAAAAACAGATTACTCGATAGGCTTTTTCACAAGCAGTTTTTTTTTTCATTCCCAAATTGCTTAAAGGCGGGGGAGTTATAATGTTGTGTGTTCATAAGAAAATCATTTGTCTGCAGTATAGAGAAAAATTGCTCTCATAATGAAAGTGTTATATGCTATCCCAACACTGGTTTCAAATTAGGAATAACAAACACTAATCATATCCTGTAATAGGAAGATTCCAAGACTGTTATTTTCAAAGGGAAAAAAATGATCTATATAAGATATACTGTAGCTCCCATCTACGTCAGAAAACGCACTCTAACCAGGCTAAATCATTGTATGATCACAAAAAAGGTCTAAGATATCCAGAGATGTAATCCCATACACTATATATGTATATATATGTTAAAATTAGAACACATACAAAGGAAAGCGACAAGGTGATGATTAGCAATAGTAATTATATTACAGGTATTCACATGAGTCACTTTAATTTCTTACCTCCATATAAAAAATGAGAATAACACGATTTCAAAATGGAACAAGTATAAATCATGAAAGCTAAGCTTGCTAACTGACAGCTGAATCAGTAAGGACAATATAAACAGCTAAACATGTCCTTGGAGAGGAAAGATTTTACTTTGCCATTTGTCCCTGGCATGCCCCCAAACCTGAGCAGATTACTTGTGGCCAATCAATATTTGTATCCACCAGAGGCCTGTTATACAGTTTAAAAAAAAAGCTGCTTCAAGGAGACTTGCTCCCTTGTTTGCATTTAGTTTTAGCCACTGGGCACTGTGATAAGAATCCTGGACATGGCTCATTTTTCATTTCCTAGCACTCTCCTGGATTTCCAATGAAAGGTGGCAGAGTGCTTTAAAGAGCCTTAATGTAGCAGTTTCCTGACCCAGTTAGAAAACAAAATCATGTTTATATATGTATATTATATACTGTATACAGTATGTAGACACACTTTTCATTATTAATTAAACAATGATAACAAATTAATCCTATACAGCACACACAATATGTGACACATATTTTCACCTCTCAGTATTAACTGAGCAGTGCTAA